TAAGTCCAAGGACAATAACTCTGCACAAAATCATCAGACCCGAACAAAATTCAAACTCGATCTGTAACTTGTCATGATAAAACAATGTCCCAATTATTAAGTCAATATCTTTAAGCATGAGGAAAAAAAAAAATTTGAAATTTTGCTTGAAATTGATGATAAGGGCAATAAATAATATAAGGAGTAATTCTACACTTTAAGACCTTCAAGATATTAATTGATAACTCTGAAGAATTGAGCAATATACACTCACGTTTCTCCATGATCAACTGAAACACATATAGGAACATATTTGCAGATTATAGTTTCTCTGCAGCTATCATTGTTTTCAAATAATTAGGCAAACGCTTCAATTTTTATAAAATTTGTCAAAAGGAGCTCTTACTACAGTCAGAGCTCAGACACATACAAGTCTAAACATGTTTTGACTTCTACAAGTCAAAATAAGTAAATCACAAGAGTTACCTCTCTTTTTTCATTTATCGCAATATGACTTAATTAAACAAGTCGATTTAAGGCAAACCTCAATTAATACATAAAATAACTTTTGCAAGTCAATTTTTGTACAGCTGGTAATGCACATATTTGACTTATTATTCAGTAGGGATTATGTCCCCTAATTACAAGAATCGACCTGAAGAAGTCAAATTTTAGTCTTTGACTGGAACAAGTCTTTTCTGGTAAAAGCTGCTTTAGATGAAAAGATTATAATGAGGGGACAAAGCTTTAATGAATATAATTTCGAAATTTTTGATTTCATAAATAAAAATAATGTTTGTGTCTATGCAAAGTAGAATATTTGACAGTTTTTAATGGTCATTTGGCAATATAACAAAAGAATTAAATTCTAAATTTTTTATTTTTAACCAAATAGTGTAATCAGAAAAAAGTATTATTACGTATACAGCACCATTGTAAAACATGTATGTACATATAAAAAACATAGTATAAACATTTTTTAACAAAATAACCTCTAAAATATGATATAAAAAACATGGGAACTCCTGTTTAAATGTTTAAACCCATGAACTTTATTAACTTTTTTAATTTCTAATCAACTCGTTCAATCAAAAAAATTATCATTTCTGCACCATGGTATAACATACATACAAACACATAGTATAAACATTTTTATCAAAACATGAGACTCTAAAAAAAAATCAAAAAGAGGTTCCTGTTTAAAAATTGCACATTGTTTAATTGAGACATGTGAGACAGGGACTATGAGTGCATGTTAAATGCTAAACAGACAACACATTCAAATACTTAAGGTTTTTCTCCATATTCACTGGGAACAAACTTTTATACAGCAGGTATACATTGAAATCAATCAGAATAAGTAGAAGTCATCACAAACATGACTAGTTATACACCCATAAACCTCAAAATTTTATTGAAATTTAACGAAATAAGAATGTGTCCATAGTACATGGATGCCCCACTCGCACTATCATTTTCTATGTTCTGTTGACCGTGAAATTGGGGTAAAATCTCAATTTGGCATTAACACTAGAAAGATCATATCATAGGGAACATGTGTACTAAGTTTCAAGTTGAAAACTATCTTAACCAAAAACTTTAAACTTAAGTGGGACAGACAGCTGAACAGATGAACGAACGCACATACCAGAAAACATAATGCCCCTGTACTATTGTAGGAGTGTAGGTTGGGCATAAAAATAATATAGGAGTGTAGGTTGGGCATAAAAATAATATAGGAGTGTAGGTTGGGCATAAAAATTATATATCTAAAATGTGCTCCCCCTCCCCCTCATAAATGTAACAGCAAATATGATCTGTTAAGGGTTAGGTTTTGGAATTTATTCAAGATTGTTTGGACTAGTTTGATTTTTCTCTATGATAAACTATAATGGGGCAAAATATTATACCCATTTCACCCATTTTTTTAAAAGAAGACCTCAAACAGCTAATAAAGTTTCATTGACATTAAAAGTGCACAATTTTTTTTTTTCAATTAGGACCTCAAAATAGTTCTCAACAGAAATGTGATCAAAAGTGATCAGCAGGCAATACCACAGCTTATCACAAACTACATGTATATAAAAAAAATAACATCAATTTAAAACAATTATATGTAAACTTGGCACTGTACAACAAAAGATCACTTACATCTTAATAAAGAATCAGAACAATTATTCAATATACTAGTCTAACAATATTTTAACAAAAAGTTATAGTTACCTTGTTAAGGTAGCACTACAGATGATTTTTAAGTGATTTTTTTTAACACATTATTTTAAAGTATTTATCTATTTGAGCATTTTGTAAAATCCTCAAGTCATTATGATGATATAACAGGGAGTAAATTAATAATTACATTATGTTAATAAAAGCACATGGAAGTTACTTTATAAATAAGAGCTAACCATTCAATCATCTCTTGACACTAAGTGTCCAGTGTCCAGCTGGTCGTCTCTGACTGGTCACAAGAAAAATAATGTTGTCTTATCTTACATGTCTTATGTTACAATTAAACTTAATAATGGAGGTGAACAAAGAAAATTTAAAAGAGAAAAAATGCAGAGGGAATAAAATCTAAAGTGAAGACATATCTATATATAGATAGATATAAATGTGTAAAAGTGGCTGAAGCAAAACTTTGAAAGCCTCGCGACAAATGTTCTTACTAAGGAAAAATTAATCTGTATCTAAACCTGACACCAGCCACAATCCTTATTCTAGACAAATCACCAGGATTAAAAATATTTTTTTTAACAGCACCAAGCAGTTGAATCAATATATCTTCTAATTGGTGGCATATATCAAAAATCTGAGACACAGTTTTGTAGCTTCTGCATGGTCAATGAAATGTATGAAAACAAATTTTTATTACCATTTGAAATGAATGTGCTGTTTTTATCGAAGTCGGGAGAGAACTTTTTTTGGCAGTTAATGAACTATATTTTTAATTGATCATACCAAAGAACAAGATTATCATCAGATTAAGAATGAACGATATTTCAGCTGTAAAATGAGTTAAAGATTATAAAAATTCCATTGAGTGGTTTAGGAGAAATTAATCTTAAAGTCTGTTTGTTGGAGTCATCAAAGTCTGACTATAGTGCTACCTTAAGTTACCTGTATACAGATGGAAAACAATACAAAAAAAAATTGGTCAGTCAGTGCTCAGAAATGTCTTTATTTTCATTTCCAACTTAAAAGGATGATTAACATAAATTTATTCTTAATGGATTTACAAAATAAACTCTGACTTTTATGATTTGGAGTGCAACAGACTGACCACATTTGACATGTTTAAAGAATTTCATGAAAACAAATTATATTACAATGCAGTATTCTAACACTGCTAAAATAAACTACATAACATGCATAAAGTAAAAACTTTCATAATATTTATATCCATTTTCAACAGAAAACTGAAACCGGGGAGTACAAGTAATTTAAATGACATACATAATCAAACAGCTATATGAAATCTAAATTATTCTTTTTTAGCAATCTCCATGACAAATATGATACCTGAAATACATAAACAGTTGAGCAATGTTTTGAATCAGAAGCTATAAAATAAAAGACACCAACAAGGGCAATATAATAATATCATGAATATAAGTACTAAAACATGAAAAAAACCTGAGTTTGAACATATGTTAACAAAAACATTCAATAAAAGTTGTATCAAAGTAATTTTCAAAATTGTTTTAAACAAAACATAACTTTCAAATAAAACATCAAAACACAATTCAGTAATATAAAGGCATTACTTAAAGGGGCACTAGTTGTCAAATTCATGTTCACTGATTTGACTCAAATTGTCATATTTGATTATAACAATGTAAAACTTTTATCCAAATAATAAAAAGTCTAAACTAAACAAAATACCCTGCAGGGCTACATAATATGTAGCTTCGTTTCGTGTGTATTTTAGTCTAGATGCAATCTAATTAACTGTCTAGTTGACCCCCCAAAGACCTCTGATTGCCATATATGTGATATATACATAAATATAGATATAAATAGATATCAGACTCATGCATTTGGATTTCACTTTCATTAATGATTGAACAAAACAAAAAAAATCACATTTTGTATTCATTATATATCTTGTAGCTAGTGCCCCTTTAATCTTGAAGCTGTAAACAAGGCACAAAAATGTAAGGAAACTAAGTTCTAGGACAATTGGCATGTTGATAAAATAGTTTCATATTATTGTACAGTGGCACATATTGAATGGTCAGCAAATATAATATAATGGAAAAAAATCACCAAAAGACATTAATTGAAGAAGCACTATAAAAATGATTAAATTAAAAAAAAATAACTGGTTATGCATAAGAGTAGTATGTAATCAGTTATTTTAATCAAAGTACACAATGTGCATGGTATGCATGGTATGTATGGTATGTATGTGTTGTGTACACGTAATAATGTTTTCATTAAAATGTTCTGGAAATTTTTCATACATTGTTTCATGCAAAATTATATATAAAAAAATCTTCTCGTGTACAGAATTTTTTTTTGATCAATACTATGTATTATATATATTTGACTGTATCTTGTAGTCCTTGTATTATTCATTTATTGTTTATGATTTAATGCATTAAAAACACTCATTATTAGAATTTGTATACAACATACACATGACATAGTTATACCATACGCATACATATACCAATAAATTCAAAATCATGGATTTAGTCATAAGAACCAAGTTCTGTGATATGAAGGCATTACAGATTATTCCAGTTACATTAGCACTAACATGTTATATTCAATGTTAAAAAGCACTAAAGTGTAATTCTCAAGGTGAAGCACTAACATGAAATATTTAAGGTTAACCAGCACTTCAATGTAATTTTCCAGGTTTTACAGCACTTAACATTTCTTGAAGAGGAAGAGTTGAACATTGGAAAATAAAATCTTAAATTCATGAACCTTGTAACACTTGAACAACAACAGCATGAACATACACATTAAAGTATATTTCTAATTAAAAGTTGTAATATTTGACTTGTCTTGACATGTCAAGGCTTATGGAAGTGTAACATCATCATGCTGATCACTATCAGATATAGTTTATTCTTTAATCATGTATCCAGAAGCAATACACACTATTGATCAGAGAAGTCGTTAACAATGTGTATGGGGCAATTTTACTCGCATAAAACAACTAACTTTCTTAATGTTTGATATCAAAATTTTGTTTTGCTTTATCGAAATTTAAAGTTATTTCAAAAATATATGCTTGATAACATATTGAGATAGGGATAATCCTTACATAATGAGTTAATCTTTATACATAAGTACTTCCATAAGCCTTAAAATCTCTTGGTCAGTAAAATGTATGGACATAATGATATCAATTAGTAAAAAAATTTTTGCAGAAAGATTGAAATTTGTTCTGTATTTCTTTGTACTCTTTAATGTGCCAAATCCTGCCATAGGAGTCTTTGGTGACTACTTCAACATTGGTTTCGAAAATGAATTCTTTTCTGACACAGGATGTATCTTCCTTGGCAGGCCATTTGAAATCATTTCGGGTTGATATCTTTTTCATAAAATTAATTTTAAAAGTGTCATCCACCTTTTCCACAACAAGACCAGCGAACCATTCGCTCTCATATGCAACAGCGACGTATTAACCCACTTTGATTTCATCATCTGAAAAGTAAATTGAAGTAATTAAAAATAAATCTTGACTATGCTAACCCTAAAGGGCTAGAAAAAAAAATGAGACTATTTTTTTACCAAAATAAATTAATTCACAATATACATATGTCCTGTCCTCCGACTACCACAAACACACTATTAGCTAGTTTAATTTAGAATATGATAAAAAAAATTCTAGTATCTTCTACACTTTCATAGATTTTTTATATGGTTTGTTGATAAAAATATGATGTATTTCTCTGGTTTATGACACTGGTGTGCATAAAAAAACTTAATCATGTTAATGGATAGGACATTTTCTATTTTGTAGTATTAATTCTAATTATGTTCCATTATACATGTACTACTTTAGGATATCTTTATAATTTTCCATTTTCTTTGTTAATCATGTTTGTTGTTGGTTATTGTCTAATTTTCCTTACCTTTGCTAATGTCAGTAGCCTCAAATTCCCAAATCCCTTCCTAAGTATTCATCTAAAAAAAGAAAACAAAACAATGAGATGTAAATAAACGTCAATTTTCCCTTTCTTGGAAGGATGCAATGAAATAAATATATGAAATTGATATACATAATGTGTTCATTTTTAATCAAAGTCATTTTATGGAACACCATAGAAGTCTTACCATGAACAGTTGGGGATGTCATTATAAAACAATACATTAAATATCAAATCTATATCTTCAAGCATGAAGAAAAAAAGTGTGGAAAACTGATTTGCCAGACTGACAGATGGACAGAGTGCAAACCCAAAGTCCCCTTCGACTTCATTGCTAGGGGACTAAAAAAAAGTTTAATATTAGCATTATACTAACGAAAATTTTAGTAGATATATTACCTGCAGCTGCAAAAGATCCTGGACAATGGGATATCCCAATTCTTCTGTTAGAGTAGCAGCATACAAAAAGCTAAAAATAAAAATAAAGTCAAACAATTTTTTCAAGTTTATTGTTTATGTTGAGACAAATTAATGGTATTTGTCTTATCACTAATTGTAAATTGAGAATGTGATGTAAAAATAAATTCCACATTGTACCTGTAACAGTGTTTTTTTAGTTGTCTGTATATTTCTAATCCTTACTGTTAAGTCCAATTTTGGTTGTATTGCCATTTTTACTTATATTGTGTTTGTTTTGATCACACTTTGTCAATATAATGGCATGCTACTAGACTGTTGTCAAGTGAGAGATTTGGCTAGGTTTAATCCACTCTTATGAGTAAGAAAATGTCTGTACCAAGTCAGGAATATGTCAGTTGCTTTCCATACATTGATGTGTTGGATCATTCTATTTTGCCATTTGAATAAGGACTTTCCTTTGAGTTCAGTATATTTCTTATTTTACTTTTTTCTTGTACATTGTTCCAATATCGTTTTCACTTTACTGTTAAAAGATAAAAAAAAAGGGATGATATGAGGTAAATGTACATGTGACAAAAGCACATAAAATACATGGAAAATAGAAATTATCAATAAACAGGGATTTAATTCCTGTTCCTCATTGACAGTAGTTGTAGAGTCTTCCACAATGAACGAAACATTCATACTTTACAACGAGGTCAAGACAACCCCTAGCGTCAACTTAAGGATGTTCGCTTGTCATATTTTGGAATTTTTGTCAGATTTTCGGAATCCTCTGGTTTTATCCATTCGAATGCATTATATTTTTTTGCCCATTGACCCCCATTTTTCTTTTTATAAATCTTTTATATGTATAATTATAAGCCATCTGTAAAAGTCTTACAAAATCTTTGTTATTTTTTAATAGTTTTTGAGAGCTTTAACTTGTCAATGATAAAGCTATATAAGTTATTTATCCCCTTTCAATATACACTAGTGTTATGAAAAGCTTGTTATTTTGAAACTGAGTAGCGAACTTCCTTAAGTGGTACTATTGATAAAAGATGAACCACAGTTTACCTTCTTAACCCAACCCACCTCTGAATGCCAACTTATGCGATGCTTAAAGTCTGAAACTAATCAATTTAAATAAATTACAAGTTCACTTTACTGATAGTGTTATCTCTTTGATCATTGTTTCTTTTCTTCATATTTGTCACAAACCTGTCGTCTTGCAGAACTTCTTCGTAATGTGTTTCTTCTTCTTGTACAATTTCTTTCTCTTGAGTAACATCTTTTTCTACATCCTCTTGGTCTTTTTCTTTCTCTTCCTTCTCTTGATCTTTTTCTTTCTCTACCTTCTCTTTCTCTTCCTCCTGTTGATCGTTTTCTTGCTCTACCTTCTCTTGATCTTTTTCTTTCTCTACCTTCTCTTGATCTTTTGCTTTCCTATCCTTTTGTCTATCAACTCTGACAAGAGAAAAAATACATTGATAACTTGTGACAAATAAGAACTCTTACACAACATGTAAACTTTCCAATTCGACATGTTAAAGATAAAAAGATTTTTATATATATATAAAATGACGAAGGCCGTAATGGCCGAAATGTATGGAAAATTGTGTTATAGTTTTTATTATACGATCATATATATATGTCGAAAATAGTTGTTGCAGTACCACTGAAACTTGCATATATAAATGCATTGAAATGGGGTATTCAAGATTTCATTTTAAAACAAATGAAAACATCTCATAAAATAGAAGCCAAATACTGCTACATACTTGTTTATAACAGGACTCTGGTCACTGTCATGACTGCTTATATTGATCTTATCATTCTCACTTTCACTACTCTCAGTACTGCTACTTTGGATGCTGTCAAAAAATAAGAAATTGTATTATTTCGGTCATTTTAAATGAATTGATGAAAACATAATACAACATAAACAATTCAAGTGAGATGTCTTAAGGATGTATTAAGTTAAGGTTTTGTAATTATTTGTCAGATGTTTGGACTCTTTTTTTGTTTTTTCCTAAGATTTAGTCCCATATTACCCATTTTTTTGCATACAAGACTTCAAATAACCAGCTCATAAAAGGTTCCTAACAAAATTTGTAGATTTAATTTCTAATGTTAAAGACCAAAAAAATACCAAAGCTAACTAAAAAGACCAGAATAATCAAGATTATGATCTGAATTTGTTCTAAAACTAGTGCTTTTCTGATTTAAAGTATGAATTCCAAATTTTAGATTTTTTATAATTTCAACTAAATACATCTTTAATTCATTTGTGATAACAGTTACAAGTAATTTAAATTGTTTTAGACAAGTTTCAGTGTAAGAATGTATTATATAGATATAAGAAGATATGTGCTTACTAAGTGCCCTTCTTTCTACCACCTCATCCTTTTCCTCTTCCACCTCTAATGCCTTTACCCCTTCCTCCATGTGGCCTGCCACGAGAAGTACCTCTTTAAATAATTAAAAAGTATATGTAATTTTTTAATCAGGATAATATTTGGCAACATCTCAGTTTTTCTTTTTGTGTGATTAAATGTTTATGCTGTTGTTTCTTTTTTTATGCGTGCTTGACTGTTGTTGTATTATTTCAAGTTATACATATGCAGAGAGTAAATATTGGCAACTTATCGACTTGCAGAAGTCATTTGTTGCAACTTTTGATTCCATAAATTCATTTTCTCTTAAACATAGACTCATTCAACAGGTTCAAGTAATATTTTGTTTTCAAATTTTTCAAACTCATGAAACATTTAAGACCTCTATGATTAAATTAATTTTCAATTGTGTCTATAGTTTCTGAAAAGGATTTTTACACAAGAATTGTTGAACCTTATATTATATGATTATGGTAATATACTTAAGTATACTTAATTTAAATGCACATTGACTCTTTCATTTAAATTTTTGCTAATCTTTTTCTTTTCCTAAAGAACTAATTGCCTTCCTTATAATGTATATTGTGTAATTGTGGTATAACCCTTTATAGTTTCTAGTGATATAGAGATATGTTACCTGTTAGGTAGCATCCTGGAAGGGATGCATGTTGCTTTAGTGGTTGGTTTCCTACAAAGTAAAATATAAATTTAATTCAGATCCCAACATTCACACAGTTATTACATTGACCATTGACTGATAGATCAATACACTGTAAAAATAATTTATTTAAGCACAGGCCAAAAAACAACTTAATTTGTAATTGCAAGTAACCGAGCAATAAACATGATAAAATAACTCTTACCTGACAACACTAGATACTATCAAATAATCGAGACTTTTAGGGATGTACTTAGGTGATGTTTTGTAATTTTTATCAGATTTTCAGACTTCTTGGTTTTTTTTCCTATGATACAGGGTAAAGTATTTTGCCCCATAACAACCATTTTTCTTTTCATATAAGACTTCAATCATTTTTTGTCAATAGCTCATATAAGGTCATTTCTTAAAATTTAAGCAGATTGTATGTAGACTTTTTCTAACGATTTTTAAACCCAAATAATACCAAGGCAAATATAAGGTAAAAGTCTGAGTCAGCCTTTTATTCCATTTTTTAAAACTCAAATATCTTGAAAAGGAGCTACATAACCTATCAATATTTTCAGCTTATTTTATTCTGTAACTAATGCTCTTTCGACTTATCAATTTAAAATCCTTGAATTTCTCCTTAGTACATCCTTCAAATATTTCTAGATTAAGTCCTTGTCTCTTTCTTGTTACAAAGGTATAGAACCACTTATTCCACACGTTAATTAAAGGTATGTTGAATTTTTCAGCACAAGTCAGGATAAGGTATAGTTTTGACATGAAATGACTGCTACTTTATTTAAACTTAAAACAAAGTAGCCATTAATACTCGAAATTGCAGAGTTTAACATAGAAAGCAAAGGGCTATGAATTAATGGTTTTACACCTAAAGAGATGTTAATTTTAAATGATTTTTTACCTCTGTTTAAATGCTTCTTCATACAGTCTTTTCCTTGCTGTCTTTCTTTGTTCAAATTGCTGTTGTGCTTGTTGTGGTTCAATATGCTGTTGTTGTTGTTTAGGATGCTGTTCTGGTTGTTGTTCAGTATGCTGTTCTGGTTATTGTTCAGTATGTTGTTGTTGTTCAATATGCTGTTGTGGATTTTCAGGCTGTTGTTGTTGGTGGGGTGGTGATTCATGGTTGACTTGTCTGGAAAAAATATAAATCCCATTCATGCCAATACAACAAACTGTCATTAAAACAATTGATACTGCAATGTATTTAACAGACTTAGTAAAAGAATTCATTCTGGTGGAGTAAAATATAATTATTTATTATCTCATCACTTGGCATCTTGTGTCTTACCTTAACTTCTACAAAAATCTTATACTCTTAATTTCAAGTGTTATTCGGTCATTACAAGTGTTATTTGGATAATAACAGTGTTATTCGGTCTTTCGAGGTACCGTCATTTTTCTGTTAAAGTCGATTATCAATATAATCCATATAAAGAAGAGAAAAACGTCTCCGGATTCATCACTATTTTTCCGGATTACATTGTTTGTGTATAAGAATCATTTGACATCAATTACTGATTAAGGATATTAGTTACCCGAAATATTTAACATTTGTTCATGTCTCTTTTCTTGTTATTGATACAACTATTTTATAAAAGAAGAAAAAAAATGAAGAAAAAAAATTATTTGAGGTGTCCAGTGGTGGTTTGCAGAGTGGTAGTGTTATAGACTCTCCTTTTCTGTTCGATTTTTGGGGTGTTCGGTGGTGTTCGGTGGTGAAAAGACCTACCGCTTAAAATATACGGTCATAAACCGCACAAGTTCGTGCTTGTGTCAATTAATTTATTCCAGTCATGTTTTCGTACCAATGTGTTCCACGATTCTTGCGCTTTGGATATTATTCACAGTCCAAATTCCCTGACACAAAGTCATTGTTTAAATAAAAAAATCTACGGTTTTCTAATACTGAAATTTGAGACATACAACGATTAGCGTTCTTGGGACACCGCCTATTACTCGTAACCCGAATATTTCATGCCCTTCTAGTAATCAATCTATATTCTCAGAAGATAATGTTGTCATCATTGAGCAGCAGAATATTTCGAATTAATCATTTTGGATATATTACTCGAGGAGAAATACGAAAACTGAAATTTGAAACAGGAAGTTTTCAATGAAACGAAATTATCGGCAGTTACCGGTAACGGAAATGAACAAAATACGGAAATCGTAAATCTTTAAAAAATTGGGGCGGGCGGGGATGAAAATCTATCAATTTAATTTTAATTGGCCTAATTTTATTATCTCCCCTTTTTTATTTTTCAAGTGAAACCTTTTAAGACATAATTTTGAAAAATTCTATCAACAGCTTTAAAATTTAAAAATTTGGTTGGACCTCATATTCCAGGTTATTTGAATTATTCATATATGTGTACAGTTATCTAACTTAAAATAGTTTACTGCGACTAGACTATTTACCTTTCCCTATTGTTCAATTGACAATACAATTGGGACATTTAAATTGACCAGTTGTTATTGTTAGAGTTGAGTCTACCTTGATGCTACCTGTACTGTTTTTTCCTAGTTCACCTAACTCAACCTTGCAGCATGCTTTTTTCCTGAAGTTTTTCTTCACCTAGGGTTATTCTATTATAAAATTGATAGGGAAGAACATATTATTGGTTTTCATTGTTTTAACTCCCCAATATAAATGATTAATTTAATTTTGACCCAAAAATCTAAATCAGTAAGAGATTTTCTTAACTGCATGTTAACATGTATGAAAATGAAAACTGTTTTTACATAATATATGAATCTTTAAATTTTTAACCCTTATACATGGTATTGTCCAGTTGTCAGTGAAACAAGAAGTAGCTATTCAGGTGTTTTCAGTTTCAGTTTTCAGATGGATATGTTATGCATTTCTTCAAACATCCGTTCAAATCTTTCATTTGGAATATTATTCAAAGTGTTTGAAATCTTTTGGAATCAATGTGCATAATATATTGGGATTTATTTTATTTGAATTCACTTCTTAAGATGCCATATAATTTTGCTTCTTAAAATGTGACTTGTTTTTTTTAGAATGGATTGTCATGAATGTATCAAGGAGGAAATAATTCATTCAAAATGTTTTGTGTGGCTTATACATGAAAAAGATGGAATTTAGTTAATCTAAAAGGTAAAAAAATTCAAAACTGGAATGCAAGTAGAAGAAATAAGTTTATCCATGTTTCTGTGGCTTAAAATTTAAATGTGATTTTGAAAATAATCATTAAAAAATTCTGGACCTAATATGAAGATGATTCACCTGTTTAAATGCGATGTATATTAGAAAATGAAGTAAAATGTGAATACAGTGGATATAGTCGAATCTAGTGATAAAGTGAAAAATAAAAGTAAAATATTCTAATAAATTCATAATGTGAGAATAACAATTTTGAATGTGATATTGGAAATAATCATTGTAAGATTCTGGATCTTATATTGTTTAATTGGGACATATTTCATGGAAAATGCAATAAAAACTGAATACTGTGGATCTAGTAAAATCAAGTGATATAGTGCAAAATAAAAGAAAAGTATTCCAAAAAATGTGTAAAGTTGGAACTATTTTGAATGTGATATTGGAAATTATCAAAAATCACAAATTTCTGGATCTAATATAAAGATTCAGCACATGTTTAATTGGGATGTATATCATGGGAAAGTAAACAGAATTATACTGTGGATATAGAAAAAAATCTAGCGATACAGTGAAAAATGTTAGAAAATATTCTAAAAAGTTAATAAAATTAGGAAAATATTTTAAAATGATTTCAAATAGTGAAACTGGAATACTGGATGGGATATCAAATATCAGTGTCAATAAATAAAAGTTGATTCATAACTATTATTTTTACCTTCACTATTTTTAAACACTTTGTACAAGGCTCATGTCAATAAGAATGGAACAAATGTCTAAGTGAAGGAATGCACACATTTGTTCTGGTGTTTAATAACACTGGAAAATTATGGAAATTATGAAATAATTAAGATTTCCACAAGAGTAAAAAAAATATTTTGAGTTATCTCCCATTAGAAAAGGCCAAAGCGATAAAGAGGTCTTTTCAACAAAATAAAGGAAATCCATGCACTCATAGTATTTGGCTATTAAACATTAAGAGGAAATGTAGTGCATTATATGACCACTGTGTATCATCACCACCGGATAAAGGAAGCGGTGGAAAACAAATTTGTAGTCAGGTAAGGTCAAATTCTTCTTATTTTCATTATATTCTACATTTTGCTGATGGAGGGGGGCACTGCAAGTCAGAAAAAATACTTATCTCTTGCTGTTTCCGGCCTCTGTGCCTTTGCCTTGGGTTCCGCGGCCTCCACCTCCGGGTCAGGTACTCTGAAAGAAAAACAAAAAGTGTATATTAGTTTCATATCGACTACACCGATGGAAGGGGGGCACTGCAAGTCAGAAAAAATACTTATCTCTTGCTGTTTCCTGCATCTGTGCCTTTGCCTCGGGTTCCGCGGCCTCCACCTCCGGGTCAGGTACTCTGAAAGAAAAACAAAAAGTGCATATTAGTTTCATATCGACCACACCGATGGAGGGGGGGCAATGCAAGTCAGAAAAAATACTTATCTCTTGCTGTTTCCTGCCTCTGTGCCTTTGCCTTGGGTTCCGCGGCCTCCACCTCTGGGTCAGGTACTCTGAAAGAAAAACAAAAAGTGCATATTAGTTTCATATCGACCACACCGATGGAGGGGGGCACTGCAAGTCAGAAAAAATACTTATCTCTTGCTGTTTCCTGCCTCTGTGCCTTTGCCTTGGGTTCCGCGGCCTCCACCTCCGGGTCAGGTACTCTGAAAGAAAAACAAAAAGTGCATATTAGTTTCATATCGACCACACCGATGGAGGGGGGCACTGCAAGTCAGATAAAATACTTATCTCTTGCTGTTTCCTGCCTCTGTGCCTTTGCCTTGGGTTCCGCGGCCTCCACCTCCCGGTCAGGTACTCTGAAAGAAAAACAAAAAGTGCATATTAGTTTCATATCGACCACACCGATGGAGGGGGGCACTGCAAGTCAGAAAAAATACTTATCTCTTGCTGTTTCCGGCCTCTGTGCCTTTGCCTTTGGTTCCGCGGCCTCCACCATTGGGTCAGGTACTCTGAAAGAAAAACAAAAAGTGCATATTAGTTTCATATCGACCACACCGATGGAGGGGGGCACTGCAAGTCAGAAAAAATACTTATCTCTTGCTGTTTCCGGCCTCTGTGCCTTTGCCTTGGGTTCCGCGGCCTCCACCTCCGGTTCAGGTACTCTGAAAGAAAAACAAAAAGTGCATATTAGTTTCATATCGACCACACCGATGGAGGGGGCACTGCAAGTCAGAAAAAATACTTATCTCTTGCTGTTTCCGGCCTCTGTGCCTTTGCCTTGGGTTCCGCGGCCTCCACCTCCGGGTCAGGTACTCTGAAAGAAAAACAAAAAGTGCATATTAGTTTCATATCGACCACACCGATGGAGGGGGGCACTGCAAGTCAGAAAAAATACTTATCTCTTGCTGTTTCCGGCCTCTGTGCCTTTGCCTTGGGTTCCGCGGCCTCCACCTCCGGGTCAGGTACTCTGAAAGAAAAACAAAAAGTGCATATTAGTTTCATATCGACCACACCGATGGAGGGGGGCACTGCAAGTCAGAAAAAATACTTATCTCTTGCTGTTTCCGGCCTCTGTGCCTTTGCCTTGGGTTCCGCGGCCTCCACCTCCGGGTCAGGTACTCTGAAAGAAAAACAAAAAGTGCATATTAGTTCCATATCGACCACACCGATGGAGGGGGGCACTGCAAGTCAGAAAAAATACTTATCTCTTGCTGTTTCCGGCCTCTGTGCCTTTGCCTTGGGTTCCGCGGCCTCCACCTCCGGGTCAGGTACTCTGAAAGAAAAACAAAAAGTGCATATTAGTTTCATATCGACCACACCGATGGAGGGGGGCACTGCAAGTCAGAAAAAATACTTATCTCTTGCTGTTTCCGGCCTCTGTGCCTTTGCCTTGGGTTCCGCGGCCTCCACCTCCGGGTCAAGGTACTCTGAAAGAAAAACAAAAAGTGCATATTAGTTTCATATCGACCACACCGATGGAGGGGGGCACTGCAAGTCAGAAAAAATACTTATCTCTTGCTGTTTCCGGCCTCTGTGCCTTTGTTTTGGGTTCCGCGGCCTCCACCTCCGGGTCAGGTACTCTGAAAGAAAAACAAAAAGTGCATATTAGTTTCATATCGACCACACCGATGGAGGGGGGCACTGCAAGTCAGAAAAAATACTTATCTCTTGCTGTTTAGGCCTCTGTGTCTTTGCCTTGGGTTCCGCGGCCTCCACCATCGGGTCAGGTACTCTGAAAGAAAAACAAAAAGTGCATATTAGTTTCATATCGACCACACCGATGGAGGGGGGCACTGCAAGTCAGAAAAAATACTTATCTCTTGCTGTTTCCGGCCTCTGTGCCTTTGCCTTGGGTTCCGCGGCCTCCACCTCCGGTTCAGGTACTCTGAAAGAAAAACAAAAAGTGCATATTAGTTTCATATCGACCACACCGATGGAGGGGGGCACTGCAAGTCAGAAAAAATACTTATCTCTTGCTGTTTCCGGCCTCTGTGCCTTTGCCTTGGGTTCTGCGGCCTCCACCTCCGGGTCAGGTACTCTGAAAGAAAAACAAAAAGTGCATATTAGTTTCATATCGACCACACCGATGGAGGGGGCACTGCAAGTCAGAAAAAATACTTATCTCTTGCTGTTTCCGGCCTCTGTGCCTTTGCCTTGGGTTCCGCGGCCTCCACCTCCGGGTCAGGTACTCTGAAAGAAAAACAAAAAGTGCATATTAGTTTCATATCGACCACACCGATGGAGGGGGGCACTGCAAGTCAGAAAAAATACTTATCTCTTGCTGTTTCCGGCCTCTGTTCCTTTGCCTTGGGTTCCGCGGCCTCCACCTCCGGGTCAGGTACTCTGAAAGAAAAACAAAAAGTGCATATTAGTTTCATATCGACCACACCGATGGAGGGGGGCACTGCAAGTCAGAAAAAATACTTATCTCTTGCTGTTTCCGGCCTCTGTGCCTTTGCCTTGGGTTCCGCGGCCTCCACCTCCGGGTCAGGTACTCTGAAAGAAAAACAAAAAGTGCATATTAGTTTCATATCGACCACACCGATGGAGGGGGGCACTGCAAGTCAGAAAAAATACTTATCTCTTGCTGTT